ATGGGGAAATGTGCATGTATTGTATTTGTTGGTGGCTAAAAAGGTTGCAGCTGTACAGCCTATCCCAACGCCAGGAGGCATTGGGGGTTGATTTACTAAAGGCAAAGAGACCGTGCACTTTGCAAGGGAAGTTTCCCCCTTCGTTTAGCGAATGAGGTGAAACCCTGCTGACTTTCATCACCCAATCATGTGCAAGAAAAAACTGCTTTTGGATTGGATGATTGGATATTCTTTGCAAAGTGTACCATCACATTCACCAAGCTGAGGGAAACATCCCTTGCAAAGTGAACAGCCTACCTGGCTTTAGTAAATCAACCCCTATTCCCTCCATTCAATATGGAAAGATCTGTGGGTTGGGTTACACTGAAAAAGAAAATGTACAAATAGACAGAGACACGTGGTTTAAATAAATCCCTTTTATTTGTGATAGAAGTACAATGGATGTCATTAATGTACAGAAAATAAAGATTCCCAGGAGTCCAGTATCATCACATCGTGAATCCTCAGTAATTGGAGATACTAAAGTCAACTATGCAATGTAAGAGACCTCGCCGGGTGTGAGAAGTGAGATGGTTGGACTGGGTGTAGGAGGAAGGAGCTTCTCCGCAGCAGACGCGGGAAGACTCACAGGAATGCTGGCAGGAATGCTCTATGTGGATTGGTGGGTTTATTCATGGGGGTTAGGCTGCTGCCTTCTCAGCTTTTTAAATCTTACCATAGCCAATTAGATGTAGAAGTTGCCTAAAATATCCATAGAGGCTTCAAGGTGGCCAAAGAGGGTGGTCAGATGTATATGATCAAACACCCTATTAAAGCTCATCTCCAGGGCCCTTCCCCCACCTCCGTCAACATCCCTCTGCCTCTCCAGATAATTCCTCAGGAGGTATTTCTTGATTATCTTGTTCCCCCCTTACAAAAAATTGTAAAAATTTAGCTTCATCAATGAAGACTAATTGGTCCATTCTGTGCAGTCACTTGAAGGGGGATTTTGCTGGGGGGAAGCTGGTTTAGTAGGAGAAGCTATCAGTCATCCCAATGCTGCATTTTTTACAAATTCAGGCAGCGCTGCCTGAACTGAAAGCAATAGGGAATGTTATTGAGACCTGTCACCCAGCACACCTAGCATATGCAGGGTTGACCAGTGTCCTCCACAGAAGGTTCTTGGCAACCTGACGGTTCTTGGCACCTACTGTGTGCAAGGGTAGCAAGTCTCCATTAAATCCTCAGTAGGTATTTCCTGATTATCTTGTTTCCCGCACTGTTAAAATGTGCAAAAATAAGGCTGACTACATCATCAGAGAGGACTAATAATTGTATTTTGTGCACCCACTTGACGGAGGGTTCTGCTGGGGAAAGCTGGTTTAGTGGGAAAAGCTGTCAATTATTCCTTTGCTGCATTTTCATAAAATCAGGCAGCTCTGCCCTTATGACATCTGCGCTGTCTGATCCGAAAGCAATAAGGGACCCTAATGAGACCGGTCACCCAGCACATGCAAGGGTGACCAGTCTCCTCCACAGAAGGTTTTTGGCACCTAGTGCATGCAAGGGTGGCAAGTCTCATTTAACTCCTTAGTAGGTCATTCCTGATTATCTTGTTCCCTCACTGTGAAACAAAAATTTTACTGGTTACATCATCAGAGAGGACTTATAGGTCCATTATGGGCACCATCAGAGAGGACTAATATGTCCATTTTGGGCAGCATCAGAGAGGACTAATAGGTCCATTTTGTGGACCAATAGAGAGGACTAATAGGTCCATTTTGTGCACCATCAGAGAGGACTAATAGGTCCATTTTGTGCACTGTCTTGGCGGAGGGATCTACTTGGAGGAAGCTGTTTTAGGGGGTCAAGCTGTCAATCATCTCTATGCTACATTTTCTACTAAGTCAGGCAGTGCTGAATTAATGACGTCAGAGCTGCTTGAACTGAAAGCAATGGTGGCATCAATTGATGAGACCCAGGCAAGGGTTACCAGTCTCCTCCACAGTAGGTTCTGGGCAACCTGAGCTTGAATAAAGATTAGGAAAAGGAGCATACCTGCAAACTAAATGCATTATCTACATGGGAGAGCTGTATAATAATTCTCTATGAAATATAATTTTCCATCTGGAGATGAGCTTTAAATCTCAGCAATTGGCCAACAACCTGTCCAAATGTTTGCTGAATTGTCAGTTGAAATAAGAGGAATAAAGCCACTGTGGTTGTATTGAAGAGGACGATCTAACAGATCCAACATGGAATGGAATATCAGATGAATCTGAAACACAGTGTGCACTTCATATGTCAATTGTGGTGACTATTTAAAGACAGATCCAATGCAAAAACTGTATTCAATGAACTGATTTGGTCTGCGGAGGGCATGTGTATGCGTGTCTGGATGTGAATATCTTTAATTGCCTTTTATATAAAAAAAATCAGCAGCAATTGAAATGAGCGTGTTTGTATAGAGCGTAAACATTCATTGCTTTTACTAAAGTTAACAGCAAGAAACCTTTATAAAGCACTTTATAATAATCTGCAACTCTTTTACAAGCAATGTGCTTGGCTGGAGGTCACAATAGCACCATATTATAGTCCCTGATATATGTTTTCTTAAGAGCATGGCTGACGAGACCCTTTTTTTTTCTTCTTTCCATGTAAAGCATTATTAAGAAATATACTGTATATTTACATACCAACATCCTCAGCTGGATGTCATAGGCCCTACTTGTCGGTCTGAGCACCAGTAAGAAACTACGGAGTGAAATGTTTATCAAGTGAGAACGGTTATGAGAACAGAGCAGGCACCGCGGTGTGGCTTTGTGGCGTAGTGATGTCAATGGTTTCTAGAAAACTGGTTGCAAAATGGCGGGTTCAGCAGAGGTTGACATTGTGCCTGTGCAGCCAAATGTGAAGGCACAAACACCATTGGGAAAGTTTTCATTGGGGCTGACAGTGCCCTTGTTTTCATTCTTAGTCCCCAGCACTGGAGGAACTACCAGGGTCGCGAACGGGCGCATGTGCAACCCGGCTCTGGCGTTCTGCCACTTGGGGGGGCAGAAAGGAAGAAGAGGGCCCGGCCCTGGTAACCACTGGGGCGCTGACATTGCCTTCTGGGACTACGTCTCCCAGCATGCAGCAGGACAACACTCTGTAGCTCCCTCCCACGTTGGTGGGTGGGGGGGGGGGGGGGGGTCTTCGTCTTTTCGCC